TCATCATTTCTTTCCTCTTCTTCTTCTTCTTCTTTTTTTTTTAGGCAATTAGGGTTATGTGACTTGCCCAGGGTCACACAGCTAGCATCAAGTGTTTGGTCTGAGACCGGATTTGAACTCAGGTCTTCCTGACTTCAGGGCCAGTGCTCTATCCACTGCACCACCTAGCTGCCCCTAATCATCATTTTATATATATATATATACATTTATTTATTTTTAGTTTTCAACATTTACTTCCACAAGATTTTGAGTTCCAAATTTTCTCCCCATCTCATCCCTCCCCCCACCCCAAGATGGCATGCATTCTGAATACTCCTTCCCCTAGTCTGCCCTCTCTTCTATCTCTTTCCCACCCCATCCTCTTCCCCTTCTATTTTCCTGTAGGGCAGGAGAGACCTCTGTACCCCATTTCCTGTATTTCTTATTTTCCAGTTGCATGTGAAAACATTTTTTTAAAAACTGTGTTTTTAAAACTTTGGGTTCCAAATTTTCTCCCTTTCTCCCTCCCCACCCACCCTCATTGAAAAGGCAAGCAACTAAATATAGGTTACACATGTGCAGTTATGCAAAAGACTTCCATACTAGACAATGTGAAAAACTAACTCTTATTTCCCTTAATCCTATTCTGCCCCCCCATTTATTCTATTCTTTCTTTTGACCCTGTCCCTCCTCAAAAGTATTTGTTTCTGATTACCCCCTTTCCCAATCTGCCCTCCTCTCTATCATCCCCTTGCTCTCTTGTCCCCTTCTTCCCCTATTTTCCTGTAGGGTAAGGCAGATTTCCTTACCCAATTGAATGTGTGTTATTCCCTCCTTAAGCCAAATCCTATGAGAATAAGATTCACTCATTCCCTGTCACCTTCCACCACTTCCCCTCCACTGTAAGAGCATTTTCTTTTGTTTTTTTTTTGAGATAATTTACCCTGTTCTACCTCTCCCTTTCTTCTTCTCCTAGTACAATCCTCTCTCATCCCTTAATTTTATTCTTCAGATATGACCCCTTAAACTTCAACTCACCCTGTGCCATCTATCTATCTATCTATCTATCTATCTATCTATCTATCTATCTCTATCTATCTATCTATCTGTCTGTCTGTCTGTCTGTCTGTCTGTCTGTCTGTCTGTCTGTCTGTCTATCTATCTGTCTGTCTGTCTGTCTATCTATCTATCTATCTATCTATCTATCTATCTATCTATCTACATACATATAATTTTTCCCCTCCAACTACTCTAATACTGACAAAGGCCTCATGAGTTATAAATATCATCTTTCCATGCAGGAATGTATACAGTTCAATCTTAATAAGTCTCTTATGATTTCTCTTTCCTGTTTACCTCTTCGTGTTCCACTGGAGTCCTGTATTTGAAAGTCAGATTTTCTATTCAGCTCTGGTCTTTTCATCAAGAATGCTTGAAAGTCCTCTATTTCACTGAATGACCATTTTTTCTCCTGAAGGATTTTACTCAGTTTTGCTGGGTAGGTGATTCTTGGTTGTAATCCTATCTCATTTGCCCTCCGGAATATTATATTCCATGCCCTGCTGTCCTTTAATGTAGAAGCTGCTAAATCTTGTGTTATCCTGATTGTGTTTCCACAGTACTTGAATTGTTTCCTTCTGGCTGCTTGTAATATTTTCTCCTTGACCTGGGAACTCTGGAATTTGGCTACAATATTCCTAGAGTTTTCCTGTGGGGATCTCTTTCAGGAGGAGATCAGTGGATTCTTTCAATTTCTATTTTGCCCTCTGGTTCTACTATATCAGGGCAGTTTTCCTTGAGAATTTCTTGAAAGATGATGTCTAGGCTCTTTTTTTGATCATGGCTTTCAGATAGCCCAATAATTTTTAAATTGTCTCTCCTGGATCTATTTTCCAAGTCAGTTGTTTTCCCAATGTGATATTTCACATTATCTTCTATTTTTTCATTCTTTTGGATTTGTTTTACAGTGTCTTGATTTCTCATAAAGTCACTAGCTTCCAATTGCTCTACTCTAATTTTTAAGGAAGTATTTTCTTCAGTAATCTTTTGGACTTCCTTTTCCATTTGGCCAATTTTGCTTTTTAGGGCATTCTTCTCCTCATTGGCTTTTTGGACCACTTTTGCCATTTGGGTTAGGCTATTTTTTAAGGTGTTATTTTCTTCAGTATTTTTTTGGGTCTCCTTTAGCAAGCTGTTGACTTGTTTTTCATGATTTTCTTGCATCACTCTCATTTCTCTTCCCAGTTTTTCCTTTACTTCTCTTACTTGCTTCTCAAAATCCCTTTTGAGCTCTTCTAAGGCCTGGGACAGATTCATATTTTTCTTGGAGGCTTTGGATGTAGGAGCTTTGACTTTGTTGTCTTCTTCTGGTTGTATGTTTTGAACTTCTTTGTCACCAAAGCAAGATTAATATAGTCTGACTCTTTTTGCGCTGCTTGCTTATGATCCCGGCCAATTACCTGAGTTTTAAACTCTTTGTTAAGGTAAGAGTCTGCTTCCAATGTGGAGAATGTACTGTCCCAAGCTTTGGGGGTTTGTACAGCTGTTTTCAGAGATACTTGTAGGGACCTGTAAATTATCAGTTCTTTCAAGGTCGTATGAGAAGGGGTGAGGTGTTTACTCCTTTCTTGGCCTGTGCTCTGGTCTATTAGTGACCACAAGCACTCCTTTCTGTCCTGGAACTGTGAGGAGGGTTTGCTCTTTACAGCCACTACAAGCTTCACCATGCCAGCCCTCCTTCTCGCCCTAGGACCACTGCCCAGAACTGTGACCAAGATCCAAGCACAGGCAAAGCAGGAGATTCCTGCCTCAGCACTGGCAAAGAGATCCCTGCAATCCTTCTCTGACCAGCCACTGGATTCCCCCTCAGTCTGTGGGCCAGAAGTTCAGGAGGCAGCCGGGCTTGGGAAGTAGAGCTGAGACCACCTCGCTTCTCTCTCAGCACCACAGAAACAGACTTTTCCCACTGACCTTCTAAGTTGTCTTCGGCATTCGTGGATTGAGGAGTCTGGAAACCACCACAGCTGCCTGCGATTCAGTCCTCTGAGGCCTGCTCCAGGTTCCCTGCAGCCTGCTCACCCACGCCACACTGCGCAATGTATCTTTCTGATCAATCATCCAGGCTGTCAATTTGGTTCACTCTGTCTTTTTGTGGGTTCTGCTGCTTTAGAATTTGTTTAGAGCCATTTTTTACAGGTATTTGGAGGGGTTTGGGGGAGAGCTCAAGCAAGTCACTGCTTTCTCTCTGCCATCCTGGCTCCACCCCCCCATCCTAATCATTTCTTACAGCACAATAATATTCCTTCACATTCATATGCCCTAACTTGTTTAGCCATTCCCCAATTGATGGGCATCCCCCTCAGTTTTCAATTGTCACCATAAAAAAAAAGCCATTATAAACATTTGTGTTACATATGGGCCCTTCTCCTTTAATCTTTATTTCTAATTATGTACCTATCACATGTAAAATGAAGTCAATATTACTTTATTTGAAGATATGGTGGACCAGACACATCTCTTAAAAGCTCTTTCCAGCCTAAGAGCTAATTCTATGATGTACTTTTTATGTTTTTTGCTAGGCAATGGGGTTAAGTGACTTGCCCAGGGTCACACACCTAGTTAAGTGTTATGTGTCTGAGGCCAGATTTGAACTCAGGTCCTCCTGAATCCAGGGCCGGTGCTCTATCCACCATGCCACCTAGCTGCCCCCCTAATAGCCAATTATAAAATAAAATTTACATTCCTTCTCAAAACCAGCTGTTTTGGACAACTATTTCTTTCATCATTCATTTTCCTGACCCACAGTTTAAACTTGGTACTGGCATCTTAGATCTTTCTTATCAGATTGTTGTTGCTGAATCATTTCAGCCATGGTGGACTCTTTGTGACCCCCATTTGAGGTTTTCTTGGCAAAGGCATTAGAGTGGTTTGCCATTTCCTTTTCCAGCTCATTTTTTACAGATGAAGAAACTGAGGCAAACAGGGTTAAGTGACTTGCTCAGGGTCTGAAGCCGGATTTAACTCAGGAACACTAGTCTTCCTGACTCCCAGGTCTGATATTCTATCTACTGGACCACTTAGCTGCCAAATCTTATGAGGCTTCCACTCCAATTACTGGACTACTCACAGCATTCCAACCATGTCACATGCATACATTGCTCAGGTGGCTTCCCCATTTGGAACACTCTATTTGCTACTTATCACCCACCAAAACAAATTCCTCTTTCCTTTAAGTCCCGCCCTCTCCCTTCCCTGACCATGCGTGATCATGGCTTCTTTTAAACTACTCCTAATTTTTCCACACTCACCCACTTTGAGATGTTTCTCATGCTGCCATCTAGAATTATTTAGCAGCTCTCTTACTTAGCTACTTAACTTCTCATGTGACGTCTTGTCTGCCCAACAAGACTATCAGCTCCTCGAAGGCAGTTTGTGAATTATATTAATTCGTATATTCCATAGTGCTGTGTTTTAATGAAGAATTTTCTTTTATGGATCATTACTCAGCTATAATCTAGCCTAATAGGGAACACAGTGGGAAAATTTGGTGCTTGAGATGGGATGCCACAATTCTCATACTAACTATGAAAGGCACTAAAGCACTCCTGAGCAGGAAATATTCAAGTGGCAACCTTCCAGGCAAAAGGTCAGCGTAATGGTAAAAATGAGAACTACGATTTCACCTGCGTTCTTTCCATGTTTCTGTTTGCTAGGCAGCATAGGAAGTTAAATTTTGAAAAGTGAAGAGGCAATTTTGGGAATCAGTTATTTTTACTGTTCAATTTTGCAGGGAAAAACCTGTCTAGAGCAGGTGAAGATTTATTTCTCTGGGTCCGTTTCCTTACCTACAAAATGATGTGGAAAAAGTTATCTTTCAAATTTCTTCTCACTAACGTTCTGTGAGCCTAAGTTGATTTCCTTTGTAGAGAACTATCACTGATGTCTTCTGACTCTATAGTTCTATCACTACTGAATGACAAAAGAGCACTTTTTACCCCCCAAAAATGAAATAAGCCCAAGTATGAAGACAGCAAGATCAATGGCTTTATATTAAAAAAAAATACATACACACCAAGCACCTTTACCATTCCATGGTTCTTTACATAGCGGCAACAATCTCTAATCTCAATGTACTTGGAATAGATTATTAAATTTTTATGAATAACTAAACTGTTGTTGAAGCATTTCTTTCAGAATGAGTGAAGGCACTATAAAAACTCAAGGTGGTACTTCTATTAAGTCAGTTAAACTGAGTGGTCATGTCATTTCTGAAAATTTCAAGTTAAAGCAATGTGAAGGTTGAGAACATTTCTTTTACCAGCACAATGAGACAACTGACGACACTAACAATAATTAGCTCTCTTTTGAAAAATTACTTGGCTTTTAGAAATGGAACACACAATGATAAGTCATAGATCATAGATCAATGAAAATATATTGACATACAGAATATTAAAATCAACGTATAATTTCCCACAAGTTACCAAATCCTACATCTCAGACATGTAAAAATATTGGTTACAAAAAATACACACACAATCAAGCAAAATATCTTTAATTAGTAAGGTGATCATAAATAATTCCACATAAAAGATTTAACAGAATTACAAAGAGTGTTTCTTATGTGGACTCCATCCATTCTTAATATGTATTAGTCAACCTCATTCTCTAACTGGGACAAAAAGATCTGTCATCAAACATCCAACAATGTAGCACATTTTAAGCAATTCATATTCTGTAGTTACATTTTTACATTTTTTTACAAATGTAACATTTATGTACATTATACATTTTATTTCTACAGTTCATGTATTGAAATTCTATAGTCTTCACTGGGAAAATGATGAATCCATTTAATGAATATGAATCATTCCTTGTTAAAAAGTAATTCATATTAAACAAATAACCTGATACCATTGCCCTTTGGCATCTCTCATCAGAGTTTAAGTTCGGATATATTCTGTTAAATGTAAGAAAAAGGATTTATCTAATTTTACATTATGAAACATCATTCCACATAGCTACATAAATTTGCCAGCTTGCAATTAATAGGACCATACTGCTGCACTACTGGAAATGTGTATAAACCAATTCAAAATGTAGTTAGTGAAATAGCATCATCATTACTATCTTTTAATTTAGGCTGAAATAAATCCTCCTTCTAGCAGACAATTCTTCACCTTTAACTGTCAAAGCTTCAGAAAGGGTGGGGTGCATTGCAAATGCTTTCTTTCCAAATTTCCCATGTGCTTCTCTGACAACGTATGCTTGTCTCAAAAGTCATGGATGTTTTTCTTCTTCTTTGGTTCCATTTCACTTACAAATCTGCTGCTGAACATGAAGCAAAAATTCATAGTAAGAGAATGCAGCCTCTGTCCGGTCTTCAACTAAGTGCTGGAAAAAGTCTGTCTTGGCAGGACTCTCATCTCTGAAAAGGAAAACAAAAAAACATTAATTGGAGCCATTAAAACATGGTCTCAAATAGAGGTCACACTGTATACTTCAAGATTTATCCCTATCACCAAGACAGATTCAGAAGCACTCCATACTGAACAATACCATCACCAAAAGATTCATCCGATGGCTAAAGCAATGTTCTTTTCTGATCTTAGCTAAGCTAGTACTTGGGTGAAAGATAAAGTCCCTCACTGGGCTCATATGCAAAACCCTTCCACTCTGGCAAGATGTCAAAGTTTGTGCTCTGGTAGCACAACCTTCAAGAGCTGAGGAGCTCTCGGTTCCTTCCATGAAATGGAGTGGGATTGGAACAGGATTTCTGTCAGGGAAGCAAACACTAAATGCTCAATAGAGAAGAAAAGCACTTGGATTGAGTATGTCGACTGTAAGCTGAACTGAAACTAAAAGTCACTGAACCTGCTATACTTGTTATGATTTAAAATAAGAAATTAAAACTAGGCATTCTATATTAAAAAAGAGAAAGGATATGTGCACTATAGAGGATATTCTGAGAGGCTAAGTGAATGTTACTCTTTTGTTTTAAAAATATTCAGTGTTTTAGGGGAAAAAAAAATCAATCACTTCCATACAGATGTACAAAGGAAACGTGAATTCCACAATAAAGTTATGAAAATACTTACTTTACCACATGGAGAACTGGACACAATGGCCTGTTGTCTCTAAGCCAGGAAAGAAAGGACCTGGTTCTTTCTGAGGAAAGTGTATCTAACTCTGGAAGATGTGTCTAGGTCAAAACATGAGATAAGAATGTTACTTCTTTTCATAAGGGCTTTAGTAGAACTGTTACAATTTAAACTTATTGAAAGAAAACAGAAAAATGAAGAAAGCTTAATTTTAGATAAATTTAAGTTGAATTTACTACTCTATTACTGAAATTAGTAGAACATGTCCAGGAATTAGTATGCCACTGAAACTCTTACCGTATCATTTTTTCTCTCTAAATAAGAATAAATCTCAATATATGAGCTGCCTATGGAAGAGGCCACTCTTGAATGATAGATCCATTTACCACTGTTCTAAGTATGAAAGAATTCTATCCTGTTTCCTTATTCCTTAAAATTTTTAAAAGGATACTTTAGAAATCAAAGATGCAGAAATATTGAGCTTTTTGTCTGACTTCTATTCCTTTCAATTTTTGTTCTTATGATTCTATTGAAATTAACACAATGATGGTGGAAATGTGACTTCCTCATTACTCAGGTCAATATACTGTAAACATCACTATTCAACAGCACTATGACAAAATTCCAACCAAGATTAACCCTTTCAGAAGCAATTTTTTCCCTTTCCTTTTTCCTTGAAAACAAAATAAAACAACAATAATAATGCCTTATAATACTGACTTGCAAACAGATTGAGAAGAAATTACTTTATTTCTACTTAAGGCTTGTATTTCTATTTCTTACTGCTTATAGTAGACATAAGGTGATACTACCATTAATGAAAAGCTTAAACTTTACAAATAACCATGACTTAAGCTCTCTTCATTACATGTTGCTCTATTACCAAAATCAAAGAAATACATTCAAAAGAATTCAACCTTAAAAACGAGGAGCCATTTATATGCAAAAAAAAAGGATGTTCAATTTCCCTTCACTAATTCCTGAATGGACTTGAAGACTGCACATTTCAATATGTGATTAGTCATTATTTATACAATTCTCATAGAATCAAATGCTGCCACAGAATTGGCTTCTCCCAAACTGGAGTGCTCTGGTGTTAAGAGTGAGGAGAAGGGAGCTCAGATAAAAGCAGGAAAGACGGAAAAATGAGCCGGATCCCATGCTTGATTCTCCAATCGTCAGTGATCTAAATTTTGTTCCACACTCTTAAGAGAACCCTCCAGAGCTTGATAGCGGACAGGCTAGTTAGCATTAGGAATTCTTCATATCTGTCTGTCTCTGGCGATGATACTGACAGGGAAGGATCTAATCTACATCAATGGCTCTATAATTATGACTCCGAAGTATACATGTCCATTTAGTACTTTATTTTCAAACGTATATACTGCCCCCCAAGTTGTAACACCTACAATGGCCACTAGTAAAGAACATTAATGCAAGGTTATAGTAAAGGTTTAGAGTTTTTGGTTTAAAAAAGAAAAAATATAGGCTCATTATTTTACAGTATTAAGTTACGCATGGAGTGATTTTAAGTAGACAGTGCCTAGCTTACAAAGTGAAAACATACTCATTTTCACCACGAAATGGCAGGTGTTCACTTGTTTCCCTGACACTGTTACAAGCTTACAGGCTCGCACGCCTCCCAGAGCTCTAGTTAAGATGCCGGCTGGAAGCGGCACCATTCACTGTCGCCCAAAGCTTGCCGATTTAAGAGATACATCAACCGTACAGAGTCCACTGACCAGTTTCTGTGGTAGTGATGCATAGTTTGGGTAACCGAGCACATCTTTTAGGAAGTTATTTTCACAGCTTTTCCCAATCCAGATGTAAATAATCTAAAATAAAAACAAATGAAAGCCCTCATCAGTCAAGAGAAGACCTGTCATAACTTCCTACCTGTCAGCAGACACAAAAGAGCTCGTATCAGGCGACAATTCAAAAGAAAAGAGAACACCGAAGCAGCAGGAGTCTGCACTGTCAGCTGCACAGTGATCAATAATCCAGAACCCTGGATTTGGGAACGACCTGCATGTATACAGCATTTCTTAGAGATCATCTCATTTGAGCCTCACAACAACCCCGTAAGGTGGGTGCTATTATTGCACCTGCTGCAGAGACAAGGGGACTGAGGCAGGGGAGTGACATGCCCAGGGTCACACAGCTAACAAGTATGTGAGGCAAAATTTGAACTCAAATCTTTCTGACTCCAGACCCAAGGCTCTATCCACTGCAATGCTAAGCTGCCTCCAGAAGGAGAAAGGCACCATGACTGTTGAAAGCAGCAAACAACAACTCACGTTCAAATAAAAAGTACAAGAAGGCAGTAGGAGTACTTTGCAAATAGAGAGAACACTGGATTAGGAGTTATGCAACAGAGTTTGAAAATTTAGGCTTTGACCCTTACTATTTCAATGACCTAAGCAAGTCACTTCTAAACTCTATGAGCCTCAGTTTCCTTATCTGTTAAATGAAAGGGTAGGACATGACAACTTCTAAGACCTTTTCCAGCTTCAAACATATCATCCTAAAAACCCCAGTCTTACTAATGTAGCTTGCTTTTTACATCACCACAGCTTCCCCAGGGTCTCATAACATCCTCTACTTTTAAAGAAAAAAAGAGTGTAACTAATCAGAACACTGAAGAAGTCTGAAAACATGTGCAGCGTGCAAGCCTGTGGGCCTCCTGCCTCAGCAAAGGGAAGGGGTGGCAGTGTCTTCCTGTAACTCTTCTGAGGCAGGCTTGTCTTTTCTGATTTTGCAACATACATTCTTGATTTTTTTTGGGTGGCTGTTCTTTCCATTTACACTGTTGTAGCCAATGTAAGTCTTGTTTTCCTGGCAGTTCTACTCATTTCACTCTGCATCAGTTTTATGTAGATCTTTCTAGGCTTCTCTGTATTCATCACACCCAGTGATATTCATTCTATGACAATCATGTGGAACACAATTTGTTTAACCACTCTCAATCTATGGGCATCTACTTTCCTTCCAATTCCTTGCTGTTACAAAATGTGTGACTACAAATACTTTGGTGGATTATGGGGACTTTATTATCAATTGCTTCCTTGGTATATAAGCCTAGTAATAAAATCTCTGGGTCAAAGGGTATGGACATTTTATTATTTGCATAATTCCAAACTGCTTCCCCAAACAGGTTTCTGCTGATTCACAGTTACACAAACAAAGCACAAGTCACCTTCCCACAACCCCTCCAATACTGGCTATTGTCATCTTTGCCAATTTGTAGGGTCTGAGATGAAACCTTATGATTTATTTCGTAGTAAAGGCATATTTCTAGGCAGTAAGTCAAAGGAAATGATTACTATGTGGTCAGAAATATTAGTTTTAGGAAAATATACAGTGTTATATGAGACAGGGTTTTATGGATTAGTTTTTTTACTGTGGACTTACTTTTGATACAATAGCACCACCTATAGGTATATTACTGATCAGCACCAAGCACATAGAGTTTTATTAACAATATGTTTCTGCTAAAAAACCAAACCACCTCACAATAACAATGATCTCATGGAAAGTATTTCAGAAAAGCTCTACTGGGGAGGCTCAAATGATAGTATTGCGTATAATTTCAAAAGAAATTAGACTACTTTTGTTTGGCATTTGGAGAGATTCTGTTTTCATCTTTTCTTGTGAGAAGTGAAATGTGGTTAGGATCTTCTCTTGTCCCTATCCAAAGTGACCAGAAGCAATACTGGAAATAAAAATCACAGATTCAAGTTTGATTATTGATAGCTGAAATGTTACATCTAAGCTATGTGATAGGAAAATGACCAAGAAAAGTATCATCATCAGGGAAAATGCTTGCTAGCAGCCAAGATATCTTACACGGACATCACTAAAACCACACAAAATATGCTTTAATCAAACCGAAATCTACAGGATAATAAACAACAACAACAAAAAAAACCCCTTGGCAGATAAAAAACCCTTCAAACTAGATATCTGAAACCGCGAAGCTTATTAATTAATTTTAAAAGATTACTCAAGCCTATTCAAGAAAGAAAAAATGTCCCCTAATGAAAGGTCTTCAATAAAAAAAATCTGCCTAACCCAAAGTGAAATTTAAGACTGAGTCAAAATTAAGGACTTACAGAACCAGCATCCATAAGGAAGGCGCCCTCTCTTGTCAGCTTCTCTGCAGACAATTTTTGAAGAGGCGGCTGAGGCACTATTCTGTCGTTAATATGTATTGCACCCTTTAAGGAAAATTAAACTTAACGTTAATATCACCAAAACTAATAGCCATTGGCTTTGTGGAAATATTTTAAAAACTAAAATTATTTTTCTCACAAAATCTATTTTGAATACGTCTATCTTACACTCTGTCACGTGTAACTTTTTAGGCTCCACCTTTTGAGCCATATTCCTCTAGTAACAGGAGTTACTTGAGAATTCCATTTTTGAAACAGTGAAACAATAAGGACACCACATCCTGAATACTGTAGGACTAGATAATCACAGTTTGAAACAGTATAACAAAACAGTCTTGGGTATGTGGCAAATTTTGTGAACTTAATTCTTTCAACTAGTATCAAATTATTTTTGTTCTGATGCTACAATAGTTTCTATGAATTTTGAACAAGAGGGCTTAAGGCACCTCTTTAGGGCAGGACATCATATAATCTTTACAATCACCATTAGAAAAAGAGGATGCAAAAAACAAAGAGGACAAACAGCCACCGACCTTGTTCTGGGCTGCAGACGATAATGAATTACTTATGCATCAAAAGAGTTCCTACCTCATCAGTCAGTTTGTCTATTCTGTACAGGTTGGGATGAATGATTTTCATCAGATGAACAAGTGGCTGACACTTCATCTGGCACATGGCAAACACACGATCATCCAGGCGGGTGCTAGTACCAGTTCTAAATGCTTTCTATGAGGAAAAATAAGGTAAATTAAAAAGTTACTAAACAACTACAGATTACATTTCATAGTTAGGAAGTTATCTATTAAGAATATCAGTTACGCATTCTAGGTATAAGCACTGACAGACGCAGACTGAATAGTTGTAGGCAATCATATATTTATAGTCATTCACCAGGCCTTCCTCATTCTCCACTTTAGTCCTGCTCCACAAAAGTCCTAAAATGCTGGAGTACCCCACATCCTATATTATTGTCCTCTAGAGCTTTTCTGAACTTCTGGAAATGAAAACACAACTTAGTCTGGTCTACCAACACAAGATGAGGTAGGTACCTGCTTGAGCAGCGCCAAAACATAGAGAGGAAACAGCTTGAGGGAGGTGGGGGCTATGAGAGCAGACTGCTGTGAGGTGGAAGAGGTCTGGCTGTATGCAGAGAGGGAATCCACTACAGCATTCACTAAGGCATCTCTTGCATCTGATAAACTTGATGAAATCGACCGATCCACAGCTGGAAAGGTAGAGAGACCACATGAGTAATGATAGCCCCAGGGCCAGAAAGCATTAAAAGGGGATTACTGTCAGACTTGGTAAGAAGTGGGAGAGAGAATGAATAAAAACAGATTATGAGGATCTCAACAAAAATTGGACAGAACAAAAACAATTCTCAAGTCCAAGGACGGGCTCTCTGGGGTATTTCTTAAGTGAATTCTTCTCAATTCTAAAACCACTTAACAGCTGTTCAGGAGATAAAGCAGCTACTTCCCAGGAAGTGCTCAAAGGTATTTGCAGGACTTAAATGGAAACAGCACAAATGCAGCTCATATCATGATTTCTAGCTGACATAACACACTTTAAGGTTTACAAAGAGCTCCACACAGATTACCTCCCTTTAGTCTCACAATCATTTGTAGGCACACAAGCATTATTCACATTTTGCAGAAAAGGGACTGAGGCTCAGAAAGACTTTGGTTTTAGTTACTTAGTATTCTCATTACCGTGGGTTATTACCTTCACCACTGCAGTCACAACCCCTGTGATCTGCATTCTGTGTTATTCTTGCCCATCTCTCCCTTTAATTCTTTCTCTGCTTCTTTTAATACCTCCAGGGTACCAATGTAGCACTTAGAATACCTATCTCATGCTTACACATAACTGGTGAAATCACAGAGTCACCTGATCATAGCATTTAGGTCTGAAAAGGATGTGAGGGATCATGGAAACCAAGCCCCTCATTACACATATGAGGAAACTGAGGCCCACAGAGAGGTTAACTGACATGTCCAGTATTATAGAGGTAGAACGTGGCACAGTTGGGATTCAAGCCAGGTCCTCTGACTCCAAATCCTCTACTCTGTCCTTGGCACTAAGGCTGCCTCCTAAGAAGTCACTGAATTTTATTACAGTACCACCATGAGAACACTGGGCTTCTGTGGCAACGGGCAACCTAGACTTAGGGAATTTAGCAAGCAGTTTCCCAAACGTGAATGAGCCAGACAGATCTTGTCCTCAAGCACTGGTCCAGTTCATGGTCCATCTGTCCACGATTATTAGTCTATTCTTTCACATTGTTGTGATATCACATTTTCCTTCTGGGTCCCGAAGGTGAAGGCTGGGTAACGGAAGCAAGGAAAAGGACTCAGGTTGAATAATAAGAAATTATGAAAGTGGTTTGGAGGTCTTTGGAATGCAAAAGAAAACCAGAAGTTGGATTTAGGGAAGAGAAATTTGAGAGAACTTGAGGAGTTAATGAGAAAGAGCAAAGCAGAAGGATGAACTTCAAACTGAAGCTATGAAGAGAAGGGTTAGAGCTAAAGGAGACGGACTCAATAGGAAGACGGTCAAGAGGAGGGAAGAGCAGGCGACAAACAAGAAGCTGAAGGAAGAGAAGAGCTTGACCTGAAGGAGAAGCAAGAACAGTAAGAGAAGGACAAAGTTAGTACTTGAAAGGACGACATAACATAACATAAGGCTGTAACACACTGGCCAAAAAAGAAAAAAAAAAAGCTAACATCTTAGCCTTAGTGAAGGGCAGGAAAGGAGACTGGGTGTTAAGTCAAAGTATTAAGGAGGCTAAAGAGACAGACAGAACGGGTTTTGTGTCATGAGAAATCTGGAGGACAGGTGGGGTGGGAGGTTACAGGGAAAGATAATGTATGGGCATCTCACCCAAACCACAACCCATCCAAGCCTGCTCATCCTGTGTGACTCACTTCATCCCACCAAAACCAAAAAAGATCAGGGCTCTTACTCTATCTTTGCTCTACGTACAGAGCTTGCCCCAAGGGCAGATCCAGAAGACATTTGGGGGTAAGGGATGGGGAGCAGAATTGTTCCAACGGCAGCACTGATTAGTTGAGGTTATAACTAAAGCTGGAGATAGCTATTCATGTCTCTCTTTCTTCTTTCACTCCTCTCTCTAGGCCAAATATCCCCAGTACCTTAAACTGATTCTCATTCTATGGGCTGAAGGCTCTTCTCATCATCTGGACTGCTCTCCTTTGGACACTGCTGATTCATAGAGCTTTGGTCCATTAAACCCTCCGAGATCTTTTTGGTTAACTGCCATCTATCCAGGTCTTCCTTCCTCCCCTTTTACCCCCATCTTATACTCGAAATCTCAGGTGCCCATATGGAGCACATGCTTTGTTCTGAAATAGCCAACATAATGGACAAGCAACGGCTGAACTATGAACACCAGGTGTTCTGAAACTGGAAAAATGAGCAGTTGCGGCTGTAACCTGAAATCAGATGGCAGAATTGGGATTCTTCTCTGAAATAATAGTAAATGTTGATTTCTTCAGTTGCAATTAACATAGGCTTATGTTTCTCTGATGCTCTAAGAAAGTGGCAATAATCATTGAGATACCTGAAAACTTTTATTGGATGAATGTCGACTTATTCCTGAAAACTGGATTGAGATTTTTTTTTTTTATCAGTTTCTCAAATAATTTTCAAAAAATATATGGAAAGAGGCAGCTAGGTGGCACAGTGGATAGAGCACCGGCCCTGGATTCAGGGGGACCTGAGTTCAAATCTGGCCTCAGACACATAATAACACTTCCTAGCTGTGTGACCCGGGGCAAGTCACTTAACCCCATTGCCCAACCAAAAAACCCCCTAAAAATACATGGAAAAGAGCTAATTGACAGTGTGGGAGAAAATGGAAAAAGCAAACATAAATAAAAATAGGAGATCTGGTATAAAAAGTAATACAAAATGATGGCTTATGGGACAGAAGACATGCCTTCCACCTGTTGCCTCACCCTTGTACTCACCCATGTTTGCTAGAAGGCAGATGGCTGCTTGTACATCTACTCCTGCATAAACATCTGCCAGTGAACTCACTACTGGCAAACAAAGAGTGTGCACCCGAATCCTCCGCTCACCTAAACAAAGTTAGGAATAAATATGCATTAGAATAAAAGGTGAAGAGAGAAAACTTCAGAGTTGCCTAAGAAAGACTCACAATCAACAAGTCTGAAAGAAAAGCAAACAGCACGAAACTGTACTGTTAGATAAGTAAACACATCGACGCTGCCATTTCTTCAGCAGGAGACACAGGAGGGCTTCTAGCGCCTCTCTCACCAGCAGGCTCCCTTGTGATCCGGTCAGACAAGAAGACAAGCTTCAGAGCAGTTAAGTAAGCTTCTCAAAGGGGCCGGCGTGGGGTCAGTCAATTGAGATGAGCACAACTTGTGCACTCCTCTAAGTCCACTCAAGCCTCAATGGGGGCCAACTGAGGCAAACACACAGATTCCCCTTCTGTAAACGTGATGGAGGCTAATCAAGGCACGCTCAGCATTCCCACCTGCACATTCACCCCAAGGGGGTCCCCAGTCACTGACCAGTGCCCACTTGCTTTACAGGGCAACAGACAAAGAAGGCATATTTCCAGCAACAGCCTCACATTTTTACATTACTTCATCCCTGTAGCTACTGCAACTGTGCAGTAGAAACCATGATCATGAGAACTCGTATCTAACACCTGGAAACTAGAGACTGTTATGGCTATGGATCCTGGGAAAGAAGCCTCTTAAGAAAGAATAACAAAAATCCACCTTTCACACACTAAAATTCACCTTACTTACATTTACAAAACAAACTATAACACTTACATTAAATTACATGCCAAGGTTGAAAATCTGGGTCAGGCTTTCAGTGGCAATCATGTTAAGATGCAGGTGGTTTCAACTATGTTGAAATATGTCACATTTGGTAAAATGGAAGAAAAATCAGACTACCTCAATAATGTACATAAGGCACTTCAATGCAAGAGATTTGCATAAGGGTAGCTCTGTATTCTTAGTTGAGATAATGCTAAAGATATAACCATCAATGAGATTCTGCACAAGTCACTTGCCAAAAACATCTGTTCCTGACTAAACTAAATACTCTTTTCTGAGGCACTATACTAGCTGATAGGCTAGTATAGGCTATCTCTCTCAGATAAGAACAGTAAGAGCTCTAGAAAGCTTTACTGAAGTTCTATTTAAATTACCTTTGCTTGAGGTATATAATAGGGCAGTCTGAAAACACACCAGAGAAGTATCTGTTAAATTTTCTTCAATTGACATCTGAACTGCAAATCCAGCATCAGGATTGATGTTGGCAAGGGAAAGCAAATCAGTAGATCGAACAAAAAAATTTCCATGGAAAGTGTGTATTGAAAGACCTAAAAAGCAAAAATTTAGATTTAGGTCAAAGTGACAACGGACAAAATTTACTTTAGAACTGTACTTATTGTGTATGGTAGAGTGAGGTGGATTGGGAAGGGAGGGAGATAAGAGAGAGGGATCTCAAACTGACTAAAATATATCATTTAAGCTTTATATAAGACAAAGACTATAAATTTGGTTCATTTATACCCATAGTTTCAATGATATTTTACCATATGTGACTGGGGCTAAATATATATATGTAACATTCTACAGCAAATGAGGTCTTCGCCCATTCATTTAATATTTGAAATGTGGTATTAGACGGCATTCTTTCGAATTCCCATGACACCAAGGAAGTAAATATAAATTGGGGATAAGTTACCACAACATTCTTAACACAATTTCATTTTAAGGGAACTTTAATTCCTTGTTTCTATCTCCACTCCACTTTGAATTATATTTTAATTTTTTTCCCCTTAATAAAGCAGAAAATCAATTTTGCTTATTATTTTTTTTTTAAGTGAGACAACTGGGGTGAAGAGACTTGCCCAGAGTCACACAGCTAGTGAGTTTTTATGTGTCTGAGGCCAGCTTTGAACTCAGGTCCTCCTGACTCCAGAGCCGGTGCTCTATCCACTGCACCACCTAACTGCCCCATATTTTTTTCAAGTTTTCACAAGTATTTGACAGTAATTAGAGAGTAAGACATCGCACAAGCCAGCAAACTGTACAATTTGGAAGTACACTGGTTAGATAACATACGACTTTTTATTTGCTGGGTAACAACATTCACAAATTAAGCCATTTCAATTAAAATTTGAACAAGCAGCAATTTAAGCTCAATTCTTTTTACCTTTTGTACATCTTATCCTCATGACTGCTTCAAATCCAATTTTCCTTGTGAGATAACGTTTTAAGTCTTTTTGCAATTTTTCTGCTTGTGAAGGATTGTGGGTATGATGAAAAGATGGGTAATAATAGATGCAACCTGCAGAATACTTGGACATGCAAGCTTGGAAAAGAAAAAGATAAATATTTATTTATTATAGATGGAGAATCCAAACTTTTTTTTTTTGTTCATAACTTGATAGTATGGCACATTTCAGCATTTAAAATAATGTTAAAGTTAAATGGCTAGCACAGATTGGATAAAATAAGAAACTTAGGTAGAATAAAGTTAGAATAAAATATACAAAATCTAAACTTTAACATCAAGTCTTAATGAAACATGTAATATCAGATTTACTGATAAATACAGTGCAGACAACCAAGAGTGAATCTTAGCTGAGCTCTTTGAGCGGCATGGCAATCCTTTTATTCTTCCCTAATTTGCTCTGTAGTATGAGAGCCATTTTGTTGATCTCAAATGAAAAAGAGGTCTGCTAACTTCCTAGAGCATAGCTTAACAGATATTGTTTCAAAATTTGTCAGAATGGATGGCTACCATCCAATTTTTGTGATTCATGTGGACACAAATGATACTATAGCAGAATGTAAACTATTTGAAGGCAGGAACCCATTTAATTTTTGTCTCCATATCACCAGAGATTAAGCACAGTGCAATTACAAAATCTTGGGAAATGAAGTGAAGACCACAGAGGCCCAGACAGTGTTTGCCTCATTACTGCTCACTGAAGTCAAGGAAAAGTTGATCTGGAAGGTAAACAACTGGCCAAGAAAATGGCTGCCGGTTGGTGACTAGAGCGCACCTATCAAAAGCTGGTAAGAATGTAATTTGCCCGGTATCTTGAAAATCTAATAAATAACCAAAAACGAAGGGGAACGGAGAGCCGAAGTGTATTCGACCATGCTTGGTACCATAGACAGCAGCAAGGATAAAGAATAAATAGCAGAAATACCTAGAAGTTCACTGAAAACAACATTCAAGAAAGTAGCCTGTAGTAAAACCATGGTTTTAAAAGCCCAAAGTTTAGGCAACAAACAAAATGAATGAGAGATCCTAATGCAAAGAGGTAAGTTTGAACTCCTAAGTATCACTGAGACTTGGTGGAATGAAATCAACTCAATGTGTTCTGGATGGCCCTAACTTAATGAAAAGAAACAGAAAGGTAAGGGTGGGGGGTACTGTGGAAAGGGGGTAGCGGTATATCAAAGATGATATACTTGGAAAACCCCAGAGACTCAACTAAAAAGCTGAAACAATTAATGATCTTAGCAAAGTAACACGAAATAAAGTAAATCCATATAAATCATCCACACTCCTATATATTACGAACAAAATCCTATAAGAAGAGATAGAGATATTCTGTTTAAAATAACACAGACATGTTTGGGAGTATACCTACCAAAACAAACCCAGGAACTATATGAACAAAATTATAAAAAAACTAGGCAAGTAAAATCAGATTTAGATAACTTGAGAAATATTAATTGTTCATGGGTAGGCAGGCCAATACAATAAAAACAATTTTACCTAAACTAATTTATGTATTCAATGCCATCCCAATTAAATTATCCAAAAATTATGTGACTGAATTAGAAAAAATAACAAAATTCATGTAGAAGAACAAAAAGTCAAGAATATCAAAGGAAAGTAAAGGAAGGTGGTTTAGCAGTACCAGATGTTAAACTATATTATAAGGCAGTAATTATCAAAACTATGTGGTATTGGCTAGGAAACAGAAAGATAGAACAGTGGAATGGAGTAGACATACAATTTATGCAGCAAATAAACATAGTAACCTTGTATTTGACAAGTGTAAGGAAGTAAGTTTTTGGGATAAGAATTCATTATTTGGTAAAAACGGCTGGGAAAACTGGAAAGCCGTATGGCAGAAACTAGGCATAGACCAGTATCTTACATGAGTTAACCAAGATCAGATCAATACAGTAGCAGCACTGTGTATCAGGAATATTCACGTGAGGAAATTCAGAAATAAGAAGGGGGAAGCATGGTGGAGAAGGTCTGGGTGACAAATTAATGGAAGACAAATAGAAATGATTTTGTCACTGGAGACACTACACCACAGGCCACCACAGGCAGAAAGATGAGTTCAGGAAAGAGATCACAAGCCTGGTATGGAGATGTAACAGAGCAGTGAGGGGAGGGCAATATCTACAGATATTTGCTGGAGTTCTCTCTCTGTTAAAAGCAGAGCAGCTTACTTCCCAAACCTCATTAATTGGAATTTCTTGCTCCCACTAGTAGAGGAAATAACAAGGAATCTGCTGGTTTTTTGGGTTGGGGGGAAAAACAGGACAATGACACTCTCTGGGTATAGAACACTATACACGTTATCAGACTTGGTTCATGGGCTGGTTGATTCTGCTGGATTGTTTTTTCCTCTCCTCTCTGGGGAGGTGGGCCTATACTGGGAAATGCACGGTGTAAAAATACTTTTTTTTTTGACAGAAGAAAAAACCCTGCTGTTCCTAGTTCTCCTACCTCCCAAAGAGTCAGCTTGACTTAAGCAAAAGTGGAGGTCATGCCAGACTAATCCTTGTTTCCTTTTTAGACGGGTTTACTAAATCAGTAGCTTAAGGGAATTCTGTCAGTTTAATTTACCTACACTTTGACAGAGCACAAAGTTTCTCATGCCATTCTTGTGGCAGACACGATGAGAAGCAGGGCATGTGATAATACACCTAGATGGATTTGGGACTGGCTGAAAAGTCTGCACTTGAAGGATAGTCTTTAATGGCTCACTATCAGCTTGGAAGGGCTGCAATAGTGTGTCCCAGGGATCTGTGTTTGGCCTACATGGGTTTAACGTTTGAATCAACGCTCTAGATAAAGGCACAGATAGCATGCTCCTCAGATCTGCAGATGACAGCATCAAAGCGGTATATAAATAAGACACTAGACGACAGGGTCCAAAAAGGTTTGGGCTAGCAAACTGGACAGAATCTACTAAGGCAAGATGTGTTAAGGACAAATCTAAAGCATTCTACAACAGGACAAGATCAGAGAGGCATGGTTAGATAGGAGCTTGTGTGAAAAAGATGGATGGGTTTTTATGGTCTTCAAGCTCCATGTGGGCCAGCACAGCCAGAAAAGCCAACAGGACTGTGGTCTGCTTTAAGAGGCTGAGCTGCCAGGGACAAGGAGGACCACAGCTCTCCTGGGCTGTCTCCTGGGCAGACAACGGCTGCATTCAGTTTGGATACATAGTTTGGGAAAGATATCGATGAACTAAAAAGCTTCCAGAGAAGAGCAACTGGGATGGTAAAGGGCTATGAGGACTGGTGGAAGGAACACAGCACAGTTTGCTTGGAAATGACAAGACTAGAGAAAGCACAGAATCACCAGCTTCAGGTATTTGAAGGGCTTTACGTGGAAGGGGAACAGACCTATTTACTCTATTTGACCACTGAGGACAGACCCAGGAGTAATGGGTAGAAACTTACGTTTGCTAAGAGACAAATTTAGGCTTGATTTTTTTTGGGGAAAAAAAATCCAAACAATTAGAGCTATTTATGAACGGAATGGGCTGCCTTGAGAGTGAACAGAGTATAGACTTGGATTCAAGAGACTTGAGTTAGAATCTTGCCTTGGACACCTTACAGCTGTGGGACACTGGGCAAATCACTTAACCTCTACATGATTCAGTTTCTTCATCTGTAAGAGAGGGATAAATCCTAAAGCACTATATAAATGAGTTATTATCATTATTTGACTGTCTTTATTGCAGGTCTTCTAAAAGAAGGAAAAGTGTTTCCTGAAGATGTTGTAGTGGGGTGCTTCTTTTAGATGGACAAAATGGGGGAGTCCTTTCTAAATCTAAAATTCTGTAAACACATTTTTTCCTCCAATGTCATACTTCAAAACCCTTTTTCATGATGCTCAATTTTTTCCTTTTCTTGCTGCCAAGGCCAACCTTTACACAACTGACCGTAGAGAACTGAAACAACTGCTCTTTAACGTTACCAACAACTTCAACTGATAAACCCATAGGCCTTTTCTTGGTCTTTATTCTACTTGACCTCTTTTGTGGCTTCTGATGCTGTTGACCACACCCTCACCCTCCTGGACACAATGTTCATCTATATTAGAGCTTGCCTGACCCTTGCTCTTTTCCTAACTGCTAGACCTTTCCTTCTCAGTCTTCCTTGCTAGATTATCACGTCCCTGATCCACTATGTGTAGGTGTCACTCAAGCTCCCCTTATCTTCTCTAATCTCCCCTTCATCATCTTTATGTAGATGATTCTCAAATTTATACATGCCACCTAGTCTCTTTCACCAACTGCCTACTGGACACTGGATGTTTCATACTCAACATATCCAAATGAGAACTTATCATTTGCTTTACCCAATCCTACCACTATTTCTATTGATAGCACCACCATCCTTCCGGTTAAGAGGGTTTGCAATCTTGGGAGTTATGCTTGAAATCACTTTCTCTTTCTCAATATCAAATGCCATGCCTTGTGAATTGCACCTCTACAACATCTTTCATATCTACTCCCTTCTCTCCACTAAACCGAGAAACCAAGTAGGAGGCTACTCCAATAGTTAAGGCAAAGGACAATGATTGGCATCCTCGGTTCCAGCACTTCCCAACCTCAAAGCATCCTCTCATGAAATAGGTATTTCTAAAACTGATCTCCCTACCTCACTCCCCTATTCATAAATCTTGACTATTTTCACTAGATACAATTTAAAATTCACAACCTGTCATCTAAAACCATCTACAATGTAACTCCCACTTATTTTTCCTATGTTATTCTCTTCTCTCTAGGTTTTTTGTGACATTGCTCTCTCTTCATTTTTTCCTCCTATCTATCTGAACATTTCTTCACAGTATCTTTTAAGGCTGATCTTCATCCAGGTCACAGACCCATTAACTTAGGGTGTTCCCCAAGATTCTCTTCTCTCTATATGTGATTTCACTAAGCGATCTCATCAGCTCCTACAGTTTCAACTATCGTCTCTACGTAGGTGAATCTCAGATTTATTCATCTAGCTCTGGTCTTTCTCTTGACCTCATTCTTACTCCCTACTAGACATTTCAAAATGGATGTCTTGTGAACTTGGCACATCCAAAACTGAACTCATTATCTTTCCCCCAGACCTTCGCCTCTTCTAAACTTCCCAATTACTGTGGAGGGTACCACCACTCCACAGTCATTCAGGGTACCTAGGTGCCATTCTCGACACCTGACTCTGTCACCCATATTCAAACAGTTGCCACGTCCTGTTATTTCTTCCTTTACAACATTTCTTTTATATGCTGCCTCATCCCTTCTGTCCCTACGCAGGCCCTCCTTATCTCATGCCTGGACCATTCTAACAGTCTTCTGGTTGGTCAGCCTACCTCAATTCTCTTCTGACTCTAGCCAGTCCTCCATTCAGTTATCAAACTGATCTTCCTTAGTTAAACACAAGTTCCACTGTCACTTCTCCATTCAGTCACCTGAAGTGGCTCCTGGTGCCACTTATTCCAGGACCAAATAAAATCCTCTATTTGGGTTTTAAAGATCTTCATGACCTGGCCCCTTCCTACCGTTCCAGTCTTCACCTTTGCCTCTCTGAGTCCCTAACTTTCCTCAAAGTCCAGGTTTTCCAAGAGTCCAGTAAGTACTCTGTTCCTCCTGAAATTACTCTGTATTTGCTTCTGTGCTTATGCACCATTAGGTCATTACGTCTTGTTTTTGTCTTGGCATCACAAGCACCTAGAACATAATGCCCTGCACATGATGGTTACTTAAAATGTTTGGTGAACTTAATTTTTCTTACATACAGTAAATGCTACTACCATCATACTCGTGCCAAACTCTCCCCAAATATAGAACTTAAAAAAAATTAAGCTATAAAGTCTAGATTTAAGTATATGTCAAAACTGGCATAGGTAAACAGGTTAAACTGAAATATCACCTTACCTAGAGACGCCAGGTCAGAATACTGTGAACTTAAAAGGAACAGATCCACTGCTGTCTGTTGCCCTGAACAGTCTAACGCCAATTTCTTATAAAAATCAGTCGCAGGACCAAGATGTTGCACAACCTTCGGCAAAAAATTAAAGATCCATTTTATGTACACAGCAGAAGTAGTGTGGGCGTACAGAAGTATTTATCTCAGGGCACTGATTCTTAATGACTTTAAACACAAATGGGGTAGGAGATATGGGCCCAAAAGTATCATATGCTGGAATTAGTCAAAATATAGGTCACCTAACTGCTTAAGACAAGTTGGATATCTAAAATGATCTCTCTTTGAAAGGAAAAAATATAGCTGCATATTAAAAAAAATTATACTAAAACCACACTTAGATTTTATAGATGCCAGACCTGAGGGGGAAAACGTCTGACCAATGAATAAACTAATATAATTGGTTTCTCAGCTCAAGATAGGCAGAGAGCAGTTTAGAAACTTAAAATGGACAGTTTTTTTTTTGAACAGTCCAACAGCAAAGAACTGTGTTAGCTTGATAACTCAGGAATTTTTAGAATGTTGGAGGGTGTCTATCTTTGCAGGCCAATGGATAGCTAAACTGGAAATGAAAATTTGTTTGCTGGTAGGTACAGAAAGCCCTTTATCCCTTTGTTTCTTCTTGACAAAATTTACCAGTTTAAAATCAACTGTGCCTCCCATGGGAATTCAGATAAATGTTTAAATTACCATTCTTCCTCCTGGCATAAGTTTTTATTCACCTTAGGTGAATTACTATTTAAAAAGATGTAATGACCATTCAATTTTAGCATCTCTGCTTAGTTTAAAAAAAAAAGAAGAAGAAGAAGTGCATGTATTTGGCCTAAATGGGGGAAAAACCTGCAGGACCAAAAGAACGCTTACAGACTCCATAAAATCTTCTCCAATCCCCCTATTTGCCAGTCCCCTCGTTCCCTAAACTACTCATACTGACTTTGTGTAGGCTTACGTACACACAGACACACACCCCACAAACACAGTTTCCCCAGGGAGAATGTAAGCTCTAAGAGAGCAGGGACAGTTTCATTTTTGTCTGTCACCCCAGGACCCTCTGAGGTGCTTGGAATACAGCAGGCACTTATTGATGAAGAGAAATTCCTAGCAATGGTTTTCTTTTTCCTGTTAAGGGCACTAAGTTTACAGTGAGAAAAGCAAAGACTGGACCTTTAATTGTACCCCTATAACTGATATTCTCTGCTCAACATTCAGTAAGTTAGAATTTGTATAACTGTCCCTAAAACTAACTGAAAACTAACTTCCTCACAAGGATTCTTTAATGTCTGAAGGTTAACAATAGCTAAAGCACACAAAAAATGACTGGGGTCCTATGATGAAAGGATGGGGAATGGAAAGCATTCTGGTGAACGCAACATGAAAATAAAATCTAAGATACCTTTGTGCTGGATCTCTGATTAGGATCTTCTCTGGACTGCAGGAGTCCTGCACCCAAGGAAGGTAACTGTGTCTGGAATACAGACACACGGCCACCTGTTGGAGACATTAATTTAAAGGCAGCCTGAAGTGCAGGACCAAGAGCACTATGGGTTTCTCTTGTATAGGTGAACATATTTGGTAAAGCATTCAATAAGTCTTTTATCAGCTGGAAAACAAAGATTACAAATAGTTACTAAAAAGGAAAGGAAATTACTTATCTAAAGCATTCTGGAGCATTTGTGTTAAAATTCAGGTTCAAGACTATATGTAACTGAAATATCAAGTCTTTCTAAAACCTAATACAGTTAATGATGAAATGTGGCTGCTTTCAATGTATTGTTTCCAGAAATCCATCTGAAACAATACATTTAAATACAGATAGCTTTTATACAAAGAAACTTAACACTAAATGTTTAACTTTCAAATTACTGAAATCACAGCAATGTATTAATAAAAAAAAGCCACTTACCTCTTTGCTTTCATGTAGATTTACAAGTAAACTATCAGGTGTAGGTAAGAAGATATCTGTGGGTAAAACAGACGTTCTAATAAACAAATCAAGGCACAAAGGATTATAATAAAGGAAAGTACTATAAGTCTTGGTTAAATTATGTTACACAGAATAGGGACTGTATCGGCATACAAACTGATTTAAATATAACAACTAATTATAATAGCAGCACAACAGAATAAAAAAATTAAAGTATTTTCCTAGAAAAATATTAAATTAAGGGCTTACATATCAGGGTATGTGTGCCCGGTAATCTTATGTTACCATTAACTCAAATAATTTGAAATTATAAGCACATTTTATTTCACAATTCTGTACCAGTCCAAGACTGTGGTGATTTCTTTTATTAAGTATTTACCATCTATGTCTGAGACAATCAACATCTGAGGCTGTGATAACCCTTCTTGTAAGTTATAGAAATGAACCGTGCTGTCAAAGGTTATGAACCCGATTCTTGTTCTCGAATCTCCAGGCAGCCTAAAGACAAAACAAACAAACAAACAAACAAAAACCTTTCAATACTAAGTGCTTGGTATCACAGGTTTTTTAAAATGACATAATAACTAAATGGGTTAATTTGGGGTTGGCTGAGCCCTTTCTTTTAAAAGAGCTGAATAAAAACAAAACAATACTTATTGAAACCATCACAGAGAGTTCATGGGGGAGCACTGAAACTAACAGACAATGTAAGAAGAAATGATCAAACACTTTTAAAAAAAATGTTAGGCATATCTGGAATTTGTATTGAATAAGAAGAACATCCACTTCAGCACCCAAATATTAAGAGTGAAAAACAACATGGATTAGAGGATGAACCAGATGTTTCTTGCCGATTTAAAAGGCAGGTAACTTGTGAGAAAACTTGACTGCATTGCTTGCCTAGCCTTGTGAGGCTGAGAAACCAGACTGTTGCTTAGAGACCAGATCTGTTTAATGCTTAACTCAGGACCTAGGTTGTGCTGACCAGAATCCCAGTCAGATCTAAAGATTAATGTAAGGAGTTTTCTCCTGCTATATATCTCAAGCAACCCACTGTGTCTTATTTGGAAATTGTCTTGGTGTGGACCACAGCTACTGTTTCCTTGTTCCTTTGAGCTCTATATAATGTGTATATTACAGACACTCAGGGGAGAAGGCCACCCACCCCTTTTCCAGCTCTCCCCTCTGCTGGATGACTTAATAAACTTCTAAGTGATTTCTATTCTGGGTTTTGTGTCTGTCACATCAATAATGGTGTCAGGAGTAGGACACATCAATAACACAAAGGCTACCTTCCTTCAGAGGCCGGCTATCCACTTTTTAGATATTTTATAGTAGGGCTTCTTTTCATGTATGGGATGAATTAGATGGCTGCTGAAGTTCCTTCCCACTCTCCAATTCTGTAGGTGTATTAACCTTCCTTTCCTGATAAACATACCCAACCATTAGCTTAATTAAAATTAACCTATAGATTTCCTTGATATGGTATAAAGGATGTCAGGGTATAATTTACAATTCAAACCAAGCAGAAAGACATCTGCAACACCTGGACAGTGAGTGTTACTGCTACTGGCACAGAGAGGCTGCTAGGTGGTACAGCAGATATAGTGCTGGGCATGGAGTCAGGATGGCCAGAGTTCAAATCCAGCCTCAGAATTGGCTTTGCCTGTATGACCTTGGGCAAGTCATTTAACCTGTTGGCCACTGGAGAAGGAAATGGCAAACCACTCCACTATCTTTGCCCAGAAAATCCCAAGGACAGAGGACCACAGGGTTACGAAGAGTCATATACAACTGAACAACAACATGTAACAATGCATCATAATGAAAGCTCACTTAAAATATTCTCCAATAATAATCCTAAATCTCTGAACCTAGCTCAATCACATAGAAAAATGAACACATCTAAACAGCCTTACTTGTCTAGATTTTCCAACAGCGACTGGCAGACAATTGTCAAATACCCAGCTTCCAGTGCATTATGAGACACATCTAAAACAAACAAGTACACTGCAGGCTGAGGAGGACGAAGCTGGAGGGAAAGAAACAATGTCATTTATTTTGTAGCCATAATTCACTCTTTCACATCATACTAAGAAGACAGCAAAAGAAACAAAATACCTAACAAACATACTGTATTGGCTACTCTCTAATACGAGTTTGCTTACAAGCTACTGAAATGACAAAGAAATACTGTTTTGTTTGGTTTTCTTTTCTCTCCATTAAATTGAGTTGATATAGGCTATGTGGGAGAGGCGATGCTGTTCAGGAAGTCAGAATGAAACAGAACTGGCCAAGTCTGTCCTACTTATGAAATGCTGTGCCAGCATGGATGGAGGCGAGGAGACAGGCCTGAGAATCATCCATCTCTGCCTCTGGTATTCTCCGCCTAAGGGCTACTAGGTGGTTTCTTTGGCTATGCTCTGCAGATTGAGGTCAGGGAGCCAAAACCCCTGGCAAGCCTTTCAGAGAGGTGAAGTGGTGTATCACATGTGAAAAGGAACAACTACCCCTTTCTCTCATCTTCAATTAGAGAAGGACACATTGGGGATAATATTCAGAACTCATAATATGGAAAAATAACTTGTAAGACAGAGTTAGTAACGGATGTCATAAAGAAAGCAGAGCTGGGAGCGGGAGACAAGAAATAGAGTAAGATGGCATGCCTCAGAGCGAAAGAACTGTAGAGGAGAGTGGCACAGACCGCTGTATGTGAGGAAGGATCTTGTAATTTTAAGTGGCTACTGACAAAAAAACATAAGATAATGGAAAGACAGGGAAAGGAAGTGGGCCAGACTATTAAGCTAACCAGTCTACAGCCACACATACAGCATGGACACTGTGTTCAGACGTAACCTCTTGAATTGTCTGGACGTGGCAAAGGCTGGAGATAGGAAAGACTCTGAGGTGAAGATCCTAGTAGCTAAGAGAAAGAAGACAGCCTCACTGAGAAGAGCAGCACCCACCCAAAGGATATGATTGTGAAGGAGAAAGAAATAAAGAGAGGGCGAGTGCCAGAGTTTGGTGACTGGAAGAGAAGAGAATAAAGGCCAAGCTGAGCCAGTAACAATGCAGCTGGGTACCTGGTGAACCAGAAATACGGTCCCACCTTCTACACACTATCAATGGAGGTAGCTTGAGAGACAGGAAGTTCCATTTGAGCATCAGTCTGAGACAGTGACAGCAGACCTAAGCTAATATGATGACCATACAACCAAAAGGCAGTAACTGTCAGTGGTGGTGCTGGTGATTTTAGAGAATGCTACTGTAGAAAAAGTGTGGATTTTGAATCAAGAAGGCCCCAGTTCAATCCTAACTCCGTCACTGTATGACAAAAATGGGGACAGCATACCTATACCTCATCTAGGCTGAAAGGACTGAGTGACGTTATATAAAATGCTTTGTAAACTTAAGAGTTTACATGATGGTAGCTATTATTATTTATGCTTAATATGATTAAGAAATGTTTATATTATAAATTGCCTTTTCAAAAAAATCTACTTTTTCATTAACCAACTTTCAGATTTTAAATAAAAAACAAATCAAAACACAAAAACAAACCCCCAGCCCCCAAAACTGATCTTGTAAAAGTTCAAAACAGCGGGGAAGATTCATAGAATTCAAAACTAAAAAGAAGCACTGCAACCACATGACCAGATAATTATAACAAAACACTTCATAGTTACCATGTAGTCTGAAGAAGCAATGAATTCCACGGTTGAATTCTGAACCTCGGGCCGTTTGTGAGGCTCTCCATAGGAACGGGTAAGGGGATTATACATAAATTCCTCAGGAACTAGACAATAATTGGGAATCCAATGCAAATCATCACTGACAGATAAAACACATGGCTTTTATACTCACAACTAAACAGTTATGCCACAGAAATTCTAATAACTACTATTTTCAATCTTGATGTTGTTTACTTGAGGACTCCAAAGAGCTTAATAATCATTGAATCATGAAAAGTACCTCCCTTTAAAAAATAACCCAGGTGCAGAAATATGAAGTTCCTTTCCTGAAATCAAGAATAAGGGCTAGAATGCTATTTCCCAAATTAGCAGCATCCTATCCATCAGACCACACAGCTGCTACGAGAAAGACACACAGAGACACACTTGAAAACAAGAGACCAAGGGTCCCTGTGAAACAGCCTAAGGAATAATGACACATAATTTGACTTCTATGATACTCTCTAGATCTGAGCTGTCCTCTGCCATGCGTAAATATAACTTAAGACACAGGACTTTACTTGGGTAACTTTCTCTGTTTGCTTTGTGAATATTTTTTTGTTTGCCCTCCACTTACACACAGGGACTTGCTCTGAATCTCATGGTCCACTAGGTTGGGGGCAAAATGAGGGTATTCTTGGCCTATGTGCTCCTTCCATAGGACTGAGGACAGAAATCACTTTATGACACAGTTGTCAGAATACACTTAAAATACATAACATTAAAAAAACAAACAAACACAAGCCAAGTTCTACTCCCAAATACGAAACTCACCATCATTAACTCTGTAGCACAGATTGCATTTCCATCTCCTCTGATCAATGAAGGACACAAAAGGGTTGATATATGTCCTGCAAGACCGGCACCTCACAATGGTGCTTGATGTTATAACTGGTAATTGCTAGGAAAACAAAATGAAGAAGTTGTAGCACACATTATCCTAAGGAAATGTTAAATATTTTTATTGTTCTGCTCAGTATAAAGATTAGAACCCATAACTGCTTATGTGTATGGCTTGAAATGGCACCATTCCAATAATACCTCACAGTGCCTTGAGCAAAATAGGTGGCTACCCAGCTGCCTCTCCTCTTACAAACAAGTAGGTAACATCACTAAAATAAGATGGCACCACAAGGAGTGAGAACTGGCCGACAGGTGGCATGATTGGCCAAGGGAATACCATGAGTCAGAGCTCATCAGCTGTACCCTAGATGTAATCCTGAGGTACTTCTCTGAGTGACTATGCCTGGGGGTGGCATTTTTATGAGTCTCCTTGGGTATGAGAGAGGTATGAACATCTTTGCTTATGTTCATGGTTAACTTAAGGTTTAACTCATGTGCTCAGGCCTCAAAATAAACCAAAAACACAGAATCTCAAAGTTGGAAGGGACTTCAGACATTATGTCATCTGTAATAACCCAGCTGACCCAAATGGTCATACAGCCTCTGCCTCTAGACCTGTCCTAAGGAGTAGCCCACTGTCACCTGCAGATCATTCTACTGGGGGCAGTTTCTCAATTGTTAAGAAGTTTTACTTAACAATAGGCCTATAATGTGTCTCTTTTCAACTTTCACCAAAGGCTTCCAGTTCTTCCCTTTGCAGCCTCTCCCACAAGATAATAGTCCTTCAAAAACCATTCCCATCAATAATCAAATCTTTTTTTCCCTCAAAGGAAAATAGCTCCACTTCCTTTAACTAATTTTTATAAAACACATTTGAGCTGATCATTCTTCAGTTATTAATGGTCTTCCTTTTTAAAAAGCTGGCCTACGTTTTATTGTGTCTTTGAACTGACTTGATGAGACTCTAGTGACCATCTAATAGTGCAAGCCTCTACCCTGCAGAGGAGGCCTATTAGGAATTAATGAATAGTAATATGAATACTGAGAATTATGCCTTGAACAAACTCAATATGCCCTATCCATTCTTTTGAGGCTCCTTTGTTTATCTGAAGCGAATACCTTGAAAAAAAAGAAATGGAATCTGATTCTTTTAGGGGAGTGAAACTGACAAGCAATAGGCAGCACTGGGAAAACACAGTTAAAATGTAGTGAGTTCAAAGTGAACTCACTAAGTCTACTGAAGTCTAAAAACACAGCAAACCTAGCTTTTATATGAAAGGGAAATGGAGCAAAGAAGAAATAACAGAGTAGGGAATGTTAAATATTTAGAAACTGTAATACTCTGCCTAAAAGGAAGTTTTCCCTTAATGTCATGCCCTAGTTACACTGAACCTTCTGTTTTTTTTTTCTTCCCTTAATGTTGCAGAGATGATTTGTTCGATATGACTGATAGCTATGGGACATTTTCTAGGATTCATTCTTACATAAACAAGCAACCTCTGTAATAGTAATGTGAATGTATACAATATACAGACATCCAAATATGTATGGACACATATATATTTATTTATTTCTATCTCAATCCATCCTCAGCTGTCTGACTCTGTGCAAGTCACTTAATCTCAGCTTCCTCATCTGTAAAATGGGGATAATCATAACACCAACCTCCCAGGGTTGTTTTGCTGTGAGGCCCAGTGAGATAACTTTAAGGTGATGAGTGCACATAGTAAGCACTATATGTTAGGTATTATTATTCCTATAATTTATCTCTCTCTCCTGTCAACTCTTACAGAATTTTGTGTCTATTTTATGCATTCCCATACCTTGGTTTCTATTTTATTTATCTGTATATGTGAAATTCTATGCCTTCCCTCCAGTGATGGTGCTCTATCCACTGTGCCACCTAGCTGCCCCTTCCCCAATTAGATCTTAAGTTTCCTCATGGCAGGGACTATCTGAATTCTTTGAATTCCCTTAAGGATCCAGTTCAGCTTAATGGAAAGAGCTTTGGATTTGGAGTAGAGGGTAAATGGAATCATGTTCCAGGGCCATGTTATTTACTAGTGTTAAGACCTAGGGCAAAGGTGTGTAAACTATAAACCAGTTTTCTCACTTTTAAAGATTTGGTTCATAATACTGATGAGGAAATCGACTCCCTATTTCACAGGGTTGTTGTGTGAAGACCAAACAAGATAGTATCTATTGGTAAGCCATAAATCACAGGGTCACAGATCTAAAACAGCTGCTATCTAGTTAACCATCTTGTTTTTACAGATCAGAAAACTGAGGCTGGGGGAGGCTAAGGTCACACAGGTCCTTGGATTCCAGACCACCACTCTTTCCACAAAACCATATGCCTTGGTTAAAGCTCTCTATAAATATCAGCTACTACTAATCAGAATCTATTGCAATCCTTTACACGTTGGAGGTGTTCAATAAACATATAATGAACTCACAGAGTGGTCTCTAATTTAATTTGGAGACATACTTCCAGCCCTGACCTTTCTCCCAAACTGTCCCTTGATTCTCTCAGTTATAATCACGTTTCCCGCCCTGTATCTTATCCAGCAATTTATTTAAAAGCTTTCCTATGAATGCACATACATGATATCGTATAATAGCTTTGCATGTCACACCCCACTATTAGATGGTAGGCGCTATGAAAATAGGAATTTAAACTATGTATATCCTCTAGCACCATTCTGCTGCACATAGTAGATGGTAATACGTGCTGAATTGAATGCTGCCAAACTAGAGTATTTTTCTCTTACAAATTAAAAACAACAAAAACAGGAAAGAAAAAATATTCAATTGATGTACAATACATAACCATGCATTTCTCCATCCGAGAACAAAAATATAAAAATGACACTTTACCGTGAGATCTCTGAAGGGATGCAACAACAACCCTAAAGGAAGCTTAGCTTTATTCAGTAAAGCCTGAGTCTGTGGAATATTTGTCAGAGTACATCGAAATGAACTGAAAGGCAAATGAAAAGAATATCAAGTTTAGCTCTCAGGCTAAAATATACCAAAGCAGATGGAGGCTAAGTTGTAAACAATCACAGTAATTAAGAATATTTCAGCTGATTATAGGGAAACCATCAGACATTTCTTGATCACTTTAAATACAAAAACATAATACAAAGCTCTAAAAAGAGGCTCAGAAGCTCTCATGATGGAAAATTACCATATTAAGAACCATTCCCTGTTCCTATTCTTGTCACTGAGGGTTAGCTATCTTAATTCCACTTCCCCATGTCACCTGTTGATAAGACTTACACATGACTCCTTATACGTGTAGCTTCATTTCACACAGCAACAAAAATAAGGTTGCCTCATCAAAGGATGAATGATATTCCTAGCACAGTTAGCCCTATTAGAAATTTTTTCCCCTAGACTTCAGAGCTGTTCTAGTTTTAGTCATAAAATATTCATACTGATACAAATTTGATAATACTTAACAAAAATTCCCTTACTAGAAAGCCAGAATTAAGTATTTAACAAAATGAATCACAAATTCACCTAAAAATAACATTCCAGGCCTATATTACTGCCTTAGGATAATTCCTTCTATTGCACATGTTAAAGCTAAAGTCCAAAAAAGTCCTGCTAGTTTCCTATAAGGTTTATTTCTCAGACAGATGTAAACTTTCTTGTTTTCTTATGCTAACCACTTTTTCATGTTAAGAATTCCTAATGACCCAACAATTACATCATGAACAAAATCAACAAGGACACAAAATAATTTTCTGACTTCATATAGTATTGATAAGGAGCCAAATAACCACAACATATCAAGGCTGACAATGGATAAATTTTTACAGCTGGGCAAAAATGAGGTATCTCAGATCCCTGGCAATTCTGCCCCCCCCCCCCACTTACAATGATCAACCAGTATGAAGAATGTTTCCATAATAAAGTGAACATAAATCAATGACAATTTCTGAGGTCTATTCTAGTTCCAAGGTTTTATACAGGAGGCCCCAAAAGTCTTAGTGAAGCTTTAAGCTTTAATAAATGTTTCTGTAGTAGGGGAGATGGGAGGACCCAAAACCAAATTTCACCTACTTCAAAATTCTGAGACAGTCCAATCCTGCTGACAACTCAGCAGCCTACTTCAGTTCCCAAGGGGCAAAACCCAGCTCTAGTGGGGCCCACCCAAGTGTGATGTAGGGGCTAGAGATGGTTTAGAGTTGACTAGTATGTGTTTCCTTGACCAAAAGGAAGAAGAGCCAAGTAATGGAGGTCATCTTCCAAGCTGTAACTCAATTCCCCAAAAGAACAAAGGAAGAGGCTAGTGATAGGACTAGACCTGCAGAAAGAATATGGGGACTCTTAAGAGGGGCATTCCAAAGAATGGCCTAGGTTAACCAGGGAGAAGGGGGATGGATGGGGAACTTGGGAGGAGGGCGAAGTCAGGGACAGGATGGATTAGCAAGTTGTTTTAAGATGTCTCTCAAAACCTCTGATTCTGAGAGTAAAGGATAATTAGACATTTGGGCTTCACTGCTTCTTTAGCAAGGGGACCCTTCAGTGTGGGTGTTCTGGGAGTCTCTGGCTGACAGGCACCTGGCCTCACTGCACAGCATGGGTGGCACAGAATTCCCTGGATTAAGTTCCATGAAAGGCATGAAAAGCAGGCCTGCTACAGGGGTCAACTCAATTTCACTTACTGCTAAGGTCTTGAGAAAGACAGGAAAGAAGCCTGATTAGGGATGAAAAAATAAAGCAGTGGGTCAAGCTAGGAAAAAGAGGAGGTGAGCTAAAAACAAATAGTTCTTAGTGAAGACAGATGGCAGCTACTAGAGCAAAAAGTCAAACAAATGAAAAGAACTGGAAATTAAGAAAGTTCATGGGCTATGGTCCCTGGGAAATAAATAAATACTTACTGATTCTTAAGCAGAGTATTACCAGACCCTATATGACAGGAGCCTTTTCCTATTCAGAGAATCCTGAGTTTACTTTTGGATAGAAGGGATGAGTTTCAGGAATAAATGGAACTCTCACGAAGGACACCTAGGGAGCAGGAGGGCATCTCACTACAAGGACAGGGAAGCTGGAAGGCACAGAGAATATTCTACTTAGGCGTTCCTGAGAGACAGGTGCCAAGCCTGATTAATAACAGGTTCATATGGAGTATTCCAAGGAAGTGATCTACAGTCAGAGACCTCGGTTTGAGTCTTGGCTCTACAATTTATTAGCTGTGTGACCCGGGGCACGGCATAGCCTTTCTGAGCTTCGGATTTCCTCAAATATCAGGGCCAGAACAATGGGAGGAAAGCAACAGAAATGTTGTGAGGCTTAAATAAGAGAAGGCACGTGAAGGCACTTTATACAGCGCTACATAATGTTGGCTATCATTATTATTATTATTTTTGTAATTAGGAGATGCAATGGAGTCTTAGTAGCAGGCCAGATGAAGGCAGAGAGTTAGGTCCCTAACTGAAAGAATGCAAAAGAAAGGAAACTGAAATTAAGATTCAAGATGGGGCAATACTACTGTTGTTTGTTTTTTCCATATTCCCTAATGAATATAAGAATACCAAATGGCAAACCCTCTGCCTAAACCTCTCCTTGGGCTTACATAAAAATTTATTAAATGAACAGATGTATCTTAGCTATGCAAAGGCTGAAAAGGGGACACAAAATATTAAAAATAGAGAGGAACTGTTTACAAGATTATTGTTTTTATTATAACTACTGATAATAACAACTCACATTTACATAGTGCTTTAAGGTTTACAAAGCGCTTTCTTCACAACAGCCCTGGGAGGTGCAAGTATTATCATCCCCATTTTATAGACAAGGACACTTAAGTGACTTCCCACAGTCACACAGCTAGCAAGCATTAGAGTCAAGTCTGCTGACTCCAAGTCCTGCGCTCTTTCCATTGGGGAAAAAAAGGATGAAAAGGAGAAAAAGAAATTGTTATTAACTTATTAGGGTACTGGAAAAATTTCTGCACCAAGACTTAGAATATGTTCAAGAAAGAGGCAGAAACTATCTCTGCATAAAACAAAAATTATCCCCCAAATGTAAAAATATGCTCTAATTGCCAGAAGTTTCTGAAAATAAAGCAGTTCTGAAAGAGGGATTACATTTTGTGTTTCCCATTTCCATGTTAAATTCCACACTAATTTAAAGTGAAAAACCTTCCTCAGTACTGTCTCCAGATCAACAAATTCCATTCCATTTTTACTACTTTTAATGCCAATATAAAAAAAATCTTGTACCAAGAATAATACATTAAAAAGATTACAAAACATATACCTACTCAGGATTACAATTTAATTTTCTCAGGTCTGAACTCAAATTAGGTACAGGAGCCAGAACGGGAGTCACAGGCAGAATATTCCTGTCTTGAGTGAGGTTGACTGGTCTCAGACTTTCGGGTTGTTGAGAAGAATGCTGCAGACTTAATCCACTTAGACTAGATGACAACTGATTCATACCAGGATACTGCTGAAAAATAAGAGCACTATTAAAAAAAACCAAACCAAACCAAACCACTATTTCAAATGTGATCTTAGTCTGTTACCCTATATCTATAAAAGATGCAGAAAATTTAAGATCTCTTATACTAATGAGTAAATAACCCCATGCTGACTTGTCCACTCACATTTTTCCTCCGTTTCAAAGGTAAAAAAACCCATTGATTAATAAGCTCTATGTTGTGTGTGTGTGTGTGGTTTTTTTGGCAGTCACATTACTTATTAGAAGGCTGTGTTAGGAACCAAGACTTCACAATTACCCCAAAGTAGAGAAATCAGAAGATAATTCACCCCATTCTATTGCAAGGATAACAGGTACAGAGATATTGTTTTGTGGGATGCTCTGGAAGGTGGTGGGGGAAATTTAGACAAAGGAAGAACAAAAGACATTAATAAAAATTCATTTAAAAAAACTTCATAGTCTTTAACTGGGTTTTACAGCAAGTCAATATTTAAAGCATTTTAATTTTTGTCATAAAGCTTCAAATTAAGCAACTTACCATAGTAAGAGAAACATTTTTTTAAAAACAAGCTTCTATAAAAACTAAGACAGTTATTGAAGTTCTAATCTTTCAGAATGATTTATATAGCTAATAAACATATTAACAATTTACACCTAGGTGAGAGGTATCATTTTGGACGTGGTTTTGAAATGTGTTAAAAAACAAGGCCAGGCAAAGAGGCTTTGCCATCTTTCTGACAGAGACATGCACCTCAGACCTAAATCTCTACCAGGTTTAGAGGATAGGAAACAGAGAATCTAGTAGTTCATAGCGCTGGTAACATATACAACATCCCCCCGGGGTAACAGGAGCAAATAACTTTTTCACTTGTCATCCCACAGAATACCCTTACTTTTTGCTTACACTAGACACCTGTCCAATTGTTCCTTAAACCCAACTCCCCACATCCTGCCTTATTTCTAGTCTAAAAAAATTAGGGACACTATGGAGTGCAATTGACGGGGTGCTCAGCCAGCCCTAAGATCATATATATCTCTGGGAAGCCTCTCAGTTTCTCACAGGACAGGGGCCTATATCACAATGACATACAAACGATTCATTTTCAATTTTACTCTTGGAGGCAATTAAAGAAAAAAAAATTATCTTTGGTGGGAAGGATACAATAGGTGCCTTCCACTGTCTTATTCCTTTATCTTTATTCTAACACATTACTTATGGTCTTTTCCAACCATAACAATAAAACCTTTTGCTTCTTTCTAACCCCCAAACTTCTAGGCCATAGAATCCATTCACATTTGGTATCTCCTTATTAAGATAGTGGGAAAAATTACATGTGATCAAGAGTAGGAATTACTGGTTCTAATACAAAAACAAAACCAGTTTATCAAGTCAAATCTTTACCTGAACTGATGAACAAATAAAAGAAATTTACTCAAGTAGAGCTCAGGAAAATCTCTGTGCCTATAGAGAGGCAGGAATTACATAACAAAGTACTAGAACTTGAAGTTAGAATATTTGGGTTCAAATCCTAGTCCTGACACGAATTGGGTGACCATGGATTAACTTAAGTCTAAATTCTTAATCTGTAAAACAGTGATATTAACACTTATAATACCTACCTGCCAGGATTGTAAGGCTTAAGTGAATAACGTCTTCAAACCTTAAAATACCAGCCATCACCATCACTTTCAGTATTTTTGCTACTATTAATGTTATGGTTTTTTCCTGCTCCTTGTTTTGCACCTTCCCTTAGAAGGCTTCGGCTCTTTGTGACTTAAAGCCTTTGACTAAGGTGTTAACCAGCTTCTAATGTTTATTCTCAGCCACTCTGAGACTGAGAACATTTTCTAAGATAGGCTGAGCAGGGGCCTTTGATTCCAAGCAGAGAGCTTTCTTGTCAATCTTGGGGAAATTCTGCTCTATTTAAATTACTTTTCCCAGTGCAACAGAACACTTGAGAATCAGAAGGCCTAGGTCTAATTAAATTCTAGCACTGACACTTACTAGCTATGTGACCCTGGACATGCCACCAATTCTCTGAACCTCAGTTTCTTCATCTGTAAAATTGAAAAAAATAATATTCACAATGATTTCCTCACACAGTTGTCAAGGAAACTGCTTTATAAACTGATTTACAGGAATGATGTGAGCTATTATTGCCAGTAAACACCAACCCCAAATGCTCATGTTAAATTGAGATGGTGTCAGACTAAGCTAGGCTAAGTATGGCAATAGCTAATTACAACTGGGAAGAGGGAAGACAAGACAGACAAAAATGTCCAAGGATCACACAGCTCAGGCCAACAGTGATATCACTAGCACAAGTATCTTAACAGAACGATGTCATTTGCTTACTAAGCAGATTAGTAAAACAGTTTTGGGAAGACATAATGCTGTTTTCAAATGGGACGAGTGAGCTCAAAACAAATTCCCCACACTAGGAGACAGAAGAAATAACAGCAGATAATCCTTTTTCCTTTGGGCAGGTGAAGTTCAATCATGATAGGTTACATAGTGATAAGGATGGGATCTAGACCCCAAAAATGAAAAGCCCTGGACTTTCCCACATGGCCAAATCTCTGGCGTTCACCTGAGGCTATAATCCCCATCAACTGGGATCTCCCAGTTCTCTAATGCCAAAAGAATACAGAATTGGGCATATGCTTCCAGATAGGGAAGTTCTTGTCCTCTATGGTGGGGAGGGTGTACCCAGATCCATGGCCTCAAACTGAACCAGCGGACTGAGAGCCTGAGAGCGTCACTGCCCAAAAAGCACCTCCAAGCCTTGCTAGATGCTTGGTGAGTGACCTCAACTGCAGGGCAAGAAAGAAGGGGAGGAAGCTTATATACTTTCCAGTCTTGGCTGGAGAAAAACTTGGGGTTAGGCAGTTTCCCCATATGGGCCACCAAAATGTTGAGTTTTAGGGGTGCTGGGACCCCAAATCATGGCAAGCAGGTCCTGCCTGAAAGAATTCGACCCAAGCCTTCTTTCAGCCAAAGACAAGGTTTATTAGAACATCCATCATATTGGGTGGACTCCTAAGGAATCTCAGCACTGGCTAGATTTTAAGAATCAGAGCACCCTAATGGAGATAAGATGGACCTTATACACAGAGAGACTGAGAGAGATCTAGGAGTGGCCAAGTAGTCTGCCAGACTGTGAGGTAATAGAATGCTAGGGACCATAAAATAATGGAGGGCTAGGCTAGGTTAAGGGTAATAGAGAATTGGGAGATTGGGCATAGCCACAATGAAAGGCCAATTGATGGGATTACAGCCCCAGGCGAACTCTAGAGATATGGCCATGTGGGAAGTTCAAGGTTTTTCCTTTCTGGGGTCCAGATCCCATCCTCATCAAGAATGACCTGGACTTCGATTAGGATGATAATTCTGATGATAATCCGCTTAGACTAAAGAACGCCATTATTTACACATACCTGGGCAAACTGCTGGAATCCAGAATATGCCGGGTTACTAGTTTGTACTCCAGAACTCAGCCCTACATTCTGATAACCAGGCTGAAGGATTGGATACCCATAGCCAAAGGGCTTAGCAGGTTTGGCTGCCTGAGGAACAGAGAGAGCCGGAGCTGGACTGCTGGTCGATAGAAAGCGTGTCTACCAAAGAGATAAATACAGAGTCAGAACCTTGAAAACAAACTTCAAAAATGCAGCTATGGCTCAACTCCACAGATCCTACCCTACTAGTCACTAGCATCCTTTTTTGATTTTTTTTTTTAACACAACACCAGGAATGGGTTAAAGGGTACATAGCAGAGGAAAAACCACTTTTCTTCCCTTTCTACTAAAACTGACCTCTGCCTTGTCACATGTCCCTGAAATGGAATTTTATTATATAAGCCAACAACATAGTATAGTAGAGAGGCTACATGTGGCTCTTTAGGTCCTCAAGTTCAGCCCTCTGACTGAATCCAAACTTCACAGAACAAATCCCCTTAATAAAAGGATTTGCTCTATAAAACTTGGACTCAGTCAAAAGGCTGAAATCAAGGACCGAAAAGGGCTGCAGGTTCCTCCTAAATGCAAAGAGGAAAGAAGGAAAGCATCCTGAAGGTCAACAGACCACAGCTACCAGAATGTGAACTGGGTGGTAGAGCTACACTGAATCAATTTCAAAGGAGCACAGGTTACTGCATAATGGAGGTAGATGTTTGGAACCACTGCTTTTTTGATACTGTTACATATAAAATGCTTTATTCCAGGGGCTGGCAAACTACAGCTGCTGCCTGTTTTTCTATATTGCCTGAGAGCTAGGAATGGTTTTTATGTTTTTAAATAAGGTTTTATTGTATTTTTTAAAATGTTATAACCACTTTAGCTCACTGGCAGTACGAGAACACCAGGCAGAGGGTCAACAGGAAGACCTGTACTTTATTCTAATACAAGGTCTTCCCTGGAAGTCCATTCTTTTTCACAAGAGTTATTACGCCAACACACCCATCGTGTCACCTGGATAGCTCCCACCTTCCAGAGCATCAAAGCTGTTGGGCACAGGAGAAGCACTGCTGGTGGTAGAGGAGCTGTCAATGGCTAGGAAGAAAAGAAAACCAAAATAACATTAGTAAAAACTGCAGAGATTCAGAGAAAGTCAATGGCAGTTTGATAAAGATGTTTTTCGTAGACTAGAGTAACAGTCTTGCCTTGAGAAATCAATAAAAAAACTAATGGTTAAAGATAGTTTGAGTTAATATGGATTTCGGTTAAAAAGAAATGCATGAGGTGGGAAAAAAAAGAAATAAATAGGTATGAGGAAATAGCCATTTAGAGCAAAAGAGAAGACATAAAATTGATATAGGAGTAGCCAAAGAACAAAAGAACATGAGTTTGAAAATGGGAACCAAATGTAACAAAAGCCCACTCCAACGAATGCATGCCCATTAAATATGTCCCCTCAAGGTTGAGGTAAGAGCTGCCTAAAACAACGGGCTCTTCTACTTCTATAAAGAAGAGGTATAACCTTTGCTCTGCCCGGTTCTCTGACTTTCTACGTGTACTGAAGCAGTTTCTTCATCTGTAAAGTGAGGGTAATATTTTCTGTTCTATTTACCTTATAGGATTCTGGAAAGAAATTATAGCAAATATATGGGAAAACATTGTATAAAGCATAGGCTCAGTGTCAACATAAGGGAGCATTATGTAGGTCAATTTAAATAGTACATTTTTATTAGTAAAGTTAACTAGATTTTTAGGAAGAGGACATGGTGGTAGGTCAATCACACAGCATATTCTCTCTGAACAAAGATCCCACAAACACAGATGCTATCCTTGTTCCCTGACACCAATTATTACACTAGGGCTGTTCCACCCCTGAATTTTAAGTTCATTTAAAATTATATGTTTGCTTTGTGATCCTGGGCTGAAGTCACTTAACCCCAATTGCCTAAAAAAAAAAATTTTGTTTGTTAGAAATACGTTTTTCATGACTGCACTTGTATAACCTATATAAAATTGCTTGCCTTCTCAATAAGGTGGGGAGGATGGGAAGGATGGGAGGGAGAGAGAATCTGGAACTTAAATATTTTAAAAAATGAATGGTAAAAATTATTTCTTATATAATTGGGGGAAAAAGAAAATGTTAAAAATAAAAAAGAATGTAAAAAAAATTATATTTTTTGTTCCATAATTCTAGTGCTAATGACAAAGCTTACTCTATCTTTAAAACATCAGACAAAGGGCTAGACATTACAGCTATGGGATGACTTCCGTTATGAACAATTCTCTAAAAACTTACAAAATCAATTCTTTCGCTTTGGCCTCAGTATTCCATCCTCCCCCCTGCCCCCATCCCCACCTCCACCTATAAAACATTTTACTTGTACATGAGACTCAACAAGAAATTTGATAATATGAACAAATTAGGATGAGAAAATTATCTCTAGAGATAACTACTCAAGCATTAACTCTTCTGGGTACTAGTTGGTGAAGTAGAGGAGAATATTTACCTCATACTAATTACCCAGACTGTTAAGTAAGTTCTTTGTTGAACAATTAATAGAACCATTTAATTAGTAAACTAAAAATGTGAAAAATAATCCTCACTGTAATGGTATCAATGCCTATAAAACATAATGAACTTCTTATAAATATAAAATGCTTAAATTAAAACAAAATAAAAAACCAAAACATTTCAGATACCAAAGAAGACAAAATATACTGACACGTACCTTGAGACCAAAATTACATCATACAATAGGTATTAAATTTTCAAAGTCACTAGTTCTGGCCTTTGTGATTCTTATATTTATGGGTTACTAAGAACCTAAATGTACAAGATTAAAAGTCTACAAAAAGCAACATTTTAAAAAGGAAAGCTGGTGACTTTTATAAGGAACAAAGTTATTTGAGACAGCACACTACTGAAATTAATGAAGACTTTAGGGAAGTATGTTGGCCATAAGCAGCCTTTTTTACTTTAGGGACTCACAGACCAAAAAAAAGAAAAAAGAAAAAGAAAGTAAAAATGTATGCATTAATTTGCATTCAGACTCCACCCAGTTTTTTTGTTGGAAGTGGACAGCATTTTTCATCATAAATTCTTTGGAAATGTCTTAGATCATTGTATTGCCAAGAATCGTGATCATTGTATTGCCAAGAATCGTGAAGTCTTTCACAGCTGATCATCATCACAGTACTGCTATTACTATGTACAATGATCTCCTAGCTCTGCTCATTTCACTTTGCATCAATTCATCTAAGTCTTCTCAGATTTTTCTGAAACATCTTGCTTGGCATTTCTCATAGCAAAACAGTATTCCATCACAAACATACAGCACAACTTGTTCAGCCATTCCCAAGTGATGGGCATCTCTTCAATTTCCAATTCTTTGCCACCACAAAAAGAGCTGCTATAGATAATTTTGTACACATAGGACTTTTCCTTTTTCTTTGATCTCTTTGGGGTACAGACCTGATAGTTATATTGCTGGATCAAAGGGTATGCAGTTTTCTAGCTCTTTGGGAATAGCTCCAAATTGCTCTTCAAAACGGCTGGATCAGTTCACAACTCCACCAACAGTGCATTAGTGTCCCAATTTTTCCACATCTCCAGTATCTGTTGTTTTCCTGATGAGCCAATCTGATAGATGTGAGGCGTACGGTACCTCAGAGCTGCTTTAATTTGCATTTCCCTAATCATTAGTGACTAAGGATTTTTTGATATGACTATAAACAGCTTTGATTTCTTCTTCTAAAAACTGCCTGTTCATATCCTTTGACCATTTGTCAGTTGGGGGATGACTCATATTATCATACATTTGACTTATATATTTAAGAAATGAGTCAGAGAAACCTGCTGCAAAATCTACCCCACCCCCACGCCCCACTTTCCTGCTTTCCTTCTAATCCTGGCTACATTCTTTTTGTGTGTGCAAAAGCTTTTAAATTTAATGTAATCAAAAATTATCCATTTTACATTCTGTAATGTTCTCTATCTTTTGTTTGGTCATAAATTCTTCCCTTATTTGTAGACCTGACAGGTAAACTATTCCATGCTCCCCAAGTTGCTTATATCACCCTTTATTTCTAAATTAAGTACTCATTTTGACCTTATCTTGGTATACAGTATATGATGGTAAAAGTAATGAAATATTATGCTACTAAAAGAAATGATTAAAGAAATGGTTTTAGAGAAACCTGGGTAGTCTTACATAAATGAATGCAGAATTATATTTTAACAAGAACACTGCAGAAATGAACAATTCTGAAAGATTTTATGAACTCTGATCAATCCATTACTTAAGGACCAATGACAAAGAAAGTACTCACACCTTTTGGCAGAGGAGGAATGGACTAATATGTAGAAAGAGACATATTTCTGGATATGGCCAATATGGGAACTTGTTTTGCTTGACTACACATGTTACAAGATTTGTTTTTCTTTTCTTTCTTTCTTTTTTTTTTGGGGGGGGGAATAAAGAAAGGGAGAGGAAAAATAAATGCTTGATAATTTAAAAAAATAAAATAAAAAGGGTGAAGGAAGAAGCCAAAATGGCAGGTTGCTAAGTAGTAAAGAGATGATGACTAAGTGGGGGTAGCACTAGTGGAGATGATATAGATGCTGATAAAGCTGAATTTCCTCATCCTGACTTCAAAATTCTCTAAGGAACACATATTTGTATTTCCTTCTAAACAGTGCTACCTATGCTAAAAAGTTTTTTCTTTTTGTTAAAGAAACAAAGTTATAGATAGGGAAAAGAGGACATTTGAGACAACTAAGGGGAAAAAAAGTCCTGATATGACATGCTAATACAGTGGGGCATAAGCTAAGTTAAATACACATAGCCTCTGTACTCTTATTTCAGTGCAAAATATCTTCTTGTTGAGGTTTAGAATTTCCTTCTAATCTTTTACCAATCTTCTAGCTTGGAAGAAAATATATTTCTTTTTCAAAAGCTTTTTTTGTGTTAAAGGAATTGATAATTTCCAAGAAACCATTTTACCTTGACCACAGAAAGAAATGTAAGGATTTTTTAAACAGTTGTCAAAAAGTACGAATGGGGAGACGAAACCTAAATTGTCAAACTGAATGAGTATCAATTTAACAGACGGCAAGGATTATGACTTTATCATTTCCCCTGAAAAGAGAATGAGCACATGAGTTTCAGCTAAGGCACCAGAAGTTTTCAATGAAACACATCCATTTTTTGAAAGGTCTTTGATATTGTAGGTGTGGGCACTCCCTCCTGGATACGGAAAAACTCTCTTAACTAAATTGCTGTGGCAAAACACTTATCAACTGGTGGCCAAGTTTCTTGGGCCTGCAGCTACAACTGCTTACTGGGAGGGGTGTAATAATCTACTCTCTACTCTACAGCAAGCAAATTGTCCTCCTTTCCATGATTTAGACTCAAAGGCTTTCTACTTCTCTTTCCCTGATTAAGTCTAAAGTCCAGAGGAAGAATGAGATAGGATCACAGTTAGAGGGGAGACATGCAAGTCAGAGGGAAGGTTTCCTTCCACTTTGGCATACGCATGTATATGTTTTTTCGTGAAAACAAGCACCAGATAGTTATTTTTTTTTTAAATCTTAAGTTAAATTTATTTTTCTCTGAATTATTTTTCAGGATTAGATTGCATATGGAATGATAGTTTAATCTGCTCTTTGTAAACTAATTTACACGAACAGTGCTAATTAAACTTTGTCTCCTGGAGATTTTGTTTGTAGACAGCAACTTTTGGGGAAATGTTGTTTACTACATATGCAGTGGGTTTACCAGATTATTTTAAAGAGCATTGGAGTAGAAAACAAAAGTCGTGGGTTCCAGTCTCTGCTCCACCATTTATTACCTGTGTCTGACTTTGGGTAAGTCACTTAACATGTCTCAGTCTTATATATCTACAAAATGAGTGCTGTGCCTAATACAGATCATGTCTACCTCACAGTGTAAGGATACTGATAGTAATAGCTGACAATTAGATAGGACTTTAACTTTTACAAAGCATTTTATACACATTATTTCATTAGGCCTTCAGAACAATCACGAGGTATTATCTTCTTTTTTACAAGTGAGGAAACTGAGTCGTGTTACAGG